GTTATCAATAATTATTCTCCCCTCCCGACTCCCGCACTGGCAGTGGCCAATATAAGCACAAGAGGCTCTGCAATGCACTAATTACTTCTGTAACGTAATTACCAGCTTAATGTAATCCATGTCCAATGCGAAAGCACGGCTTGCATTCGTACGATTTGTGCGTCTTTCGAGTTAATTGGATGTTCTTATTGACTTTGTAGTTCATGAAAAAAAACTAAAAACTGCTCTCGCCAATGGGAATGTGCTCATCTCTGCTGCTGCTGAGTCAATGGTGGAAATTCCACTTTGCCAGGACCAGTCTCTCCATAGGACAGCCACTGTTGAGTTCCCCATAGAGCGGTCCTGATTTTAACAATCTTGGGTTGGCTATGATATATGTTGACCCCCACCAGGGATTTGAATTTGCACCCTTCCTAGTAAGAGTCCAACACTTTTCCACCGTGCCACCCTGCCGATTAGTTTAACACTTAGAGCATTGCAAAATTTACGTTTGCTATTGTTTTTTGTTTTAAAGCCACTGACCAAATCACATGGAATGCCCGAAAAAATATCTGGCCAGGTCTCATAAGATAAGCAGGGTTTAATAATACAGGGTGCTTAGAAAAAATGTTAACACTTATATGGGACTATCGTTTTTTTATTGAAAAACGGATAATACACTGTAACATTATGACAAATGTATGTTAATAGCTTCAAAAAGTCAAAGAGTCTTCACTTGTTCGCCATCATTGTCACCACATACCTGGAATCTTCTCCAGGTGGTCTCCAGAGCCCAGGGGACAATTTCTTGTGGTATTGTTGCAAATTCTCAGAAGTGTATAACATTTTTGAAGCACCGTGTATTTTGATGGTGATGGGAGACCACCAAACACGATTGGGTCATTATGGGCCCCAGGACTATGTGGTGGCAGCATAGGGCAAATTCTCAGAAGTGTTTAACATTTTTGAAGCACCGTGTATTTTGATAATGATGGGAGACCACCAAACACGATTGGGTCGTTATAGGCCCCAGGACTATGTGGTGGCAGCATAGGGCAGTTCAGAAAAAAACTATTTGTACTGCAAACTATTTTAATATTTTTATTTTACCAGGTAAGGCCTACTGAGCTATGTGGCTCTTTTTCAGAAATTACCTGGCCACAAATTAAAGCTCAGCCAAGTGGCTTATGGTGTGAAAATATATTGTAGCCAAATGCTATAAACACATGTTTCTAAATGTGGAACAGAAAACCAGAGGAGCCGGGGAAAAATCCACGCGACTCTAGGGAGAACATGCAAATTACAAATATACAGGCATCAGGGTCGGGGTAGAAACCCACAAAATACTGCATACCAGGTGAGGGTTTTCACAAATCGCCACAATGTACCCGTACTTTGCTTCTCCACTCACACATATATGTTCCTCACCTTCACAAACCCAGACTGACTGGCATGATGAAGTATCATATAATATAATCCCACGACCCGTTTGATTGCGGATTTACAAATGGCAGTGCAGAGCATGTAAACATGATTTCTAGTGCATACATTCGCTGTTATTATCATCATAAATCGTGGTTATTATCAAGAATGGTGGTGCTATGAAGAATGTTGAATTTCCACCACTGGCTTTGGCTCATGGCTCACAGAGATGAGAACTGCCCATTGATTGAGTATGAAGATATGTTGACTCTGTGATTAGTATTTGGTAGAAGTTTGTTTTTATTCAACATACACTTATATAGAAGGCAAGTACTGACCCGTTTCCAAATTCCAGTCCGTTTCAAGGCAGCGCAATGTAAAAATTCGGCCTGTAACTTATACAACACAAATGTTTTTGCCTTAGATATTTCCATGAGTGGCAATCGTCCAAAACATTATTTTGTACATATTTCATTTCGAAGGTCAACCCATCATCGCGATGCAATAAGCGTGGAGGATATTGGTACCACTCTATGGCACGTCAACCGTGGTCGTGATGTGAAAATAGTGAGCCCTTACGATGAGAATGTGGAACTTCAACCGCTGGCTCGGAGCCGTAAAAAGTACAAGGGCGCATTTAGAATTCACTACATTGCAAGGCATTGTTTAGTCACTGACCATGGCGGTCGGGTATTTTCCGTGCGTAGTTTTGGCAGCGTTTTCCTGTCGAGTTTGCGCAACTCGAGATTAAATTGGATGTAGGGTGAGCAACGTCTGGCCAGGTCAGAATCTCATGTGTCCTTATCAGAGGGCTCGTAGTAGCAGCAGTAAATCACCAGCGTTGTTCCAGCGTATTGGCAGTGTTTTTACAACGTAATCGACTAGCTGCAAAGCACCTCGTCCTGTGAGAGGCAGTTATTTTATTTCTTACTTCTAATTTAACTCCATTTGATGACAAAATATATACGTTAAAGGGTCGACACTCCATTGCTTTTTAGTTTAAATCACTGTGTTTTATTTATCCAGACGAGAAGCCTTGTGACCAGGGTTTAGAGTATTTGGCTGCTATAAATTTCCACACAAGCCACTTCCTTGAGCTACAATTTGTGGCCAGGTCGCTTCTGAAAAAGAGCTATGCAGCTCAGTGGGCCTTACCTGGTAAAACATAGTTTAGTAGTTTGACTTGAAATAAATACATGATGCTGATGATGAGACCCAGAAGGTCAAAACATGTCTTCTTGAAACAAAATATATCTTCTTTTTTTTCCTATAATGTATATGTCTTGTTGTTTTGTGGATTTTGGCGATGCCGTGCCATTTGGATTCTTCCAAAAATAAAAGTTGCATCCGCTGGCATTAATGAGTCGGTGGTGTTGTGGGTGGTGGCTGTCGTGAGACTGTGTAGCAGCTACTTAACCTCAGGTATTGACGGACTCGTTGACACCACTGGGAGCTCAGTTGTGGATATTTTACTAATGTGGAATTCTGGGTTATGACACTAGCAAACAAAAGGCCACTTTACCGGCATATGTCCACACCTGAGTGTAATGTACAACATAGCACCAGGCATAGGTTCCCTGGTGGTCTACTCGTAATGCAGAAATAAAATGTCTTGTACCAGAGTTGATAATAAAAATAAAATCTAAAAGCTATGAATGTGTAAAGAGCACTTTAACAATCCATATAAAACACCATTACACGACACTAAATCTGTTTTGCAACGACACTCAAACAATAATTAATTTATAAGCAAAGGCACAAATATTAAATCATCAAAGCATGTGTTGAAATTGGCCATCGTGTTCTTTCACTCGCATGTACCACATGCGCGGCAAGATGCGCAATGCGCGCAATCACCCATGGCTTATGCATCATCGCAGTGTGCGGTCATTCCGCCTGCAATTCAACACCGAATCACGAACCGTACTACATTACGCCACGGCCATAACGCAACAGCCAGAAAGCATTGTCTTGCCGAGTGGAAACATTAGGCCCAATTCATGGCACTTGCACTTAAAACAATGTCTCCTTATTGATATTTTAAAATCAACCTTGACATGAAATTAATGAGACCCAGGAGAGCGAAATACGGTCCTGGAACATAGCTCCACTGCACAGAAGATCGGGACATCTCCGCCCATTGGATCTGTGAGCTCTTGCAATTGTAACGGCGTTCGTCAACACAAAATAAGGACGCAGAATCCCGCTTTCTGGCAATTCGGAGCTTTCGAAAAGAAATTGCACCACGCTGCAGCAGTCAGTATTGGCGCATCGTTGCGATCACGTTGCCAAGGGCAAGAGCCGGTAATCCAAGTGTTATTACTCTCTTTGAGTGTTACTAATCATGGGCCCGGTTGATTGTGTTTTACAATTACTTCTTTTTTACATTTACAAATGTATTAAACATGTCCAGGGGGATAATTGCATCGGCAGCTTTGGTCTACACAAGGACAGCATCGACCAAATCATTTAAATCGTGCATGCAAAGTCGAAAACCATAATACTCTATAAGAATGGTAAAGCTAAGGCTTGAATCAATTTAATATGTTAATCTGAAGAAGGTATAATCAAATTAGCCAGATTGTGTTACGATCAAAATGCCAAATACTATATGCAATTGTCCCAGCGCTTCTAACCCCTCCTGTAATCAACGAACAAACGTATTCTTTTTTAAACAGTAACTTTGACATCAATGTCTAAATTGCACCAAGTATTAGAAGAGAAAATAGTGAACGCGAGGTTTGCATTTTATTTTCAGAAAGCGTCTCTTATTAGCATAGGCGCGCCCTTAAACCGGATATAAACAGCAAGTTAAGGGAAGTGATTAAGACATGCTGATTAACTTAGTGGTACAGTACTGGAGTGCGGTATTATCAGAAGTGTATTGCCAAAGGCCGTCTCTATGCATGACAAGGTTAGGCTGGAGGAATGGTCCTTGTCTGCTCTCCTAAAACTTCACGGTTCAATCTTGCTCTCAAATCCACACTTCTCTCCCTATCCCACTTTTTATTTATTGCACAATGACCCCCCCCCCCCCCCCCCCGCTTCCACCCCCTCAGTCATAACCTTCGTATCAAATATTCAAGAGGCTAATGCGGTCACTGCCTGACCCTCCCGTTACTTGAATGCATATTCATCCAGATGCACGCGTCGCGAATCGATGCTCATGCCCGTGCGTAAGGCGAGTCCGCGTGTAGCTGTGCGAGCTCCGCTTGCGTTGCCAAATGCAGTCGGCCGGACCACGTGCAGCCGATCATGCAGAGAGCACATTCCAGCCTCGCAAAGACAAAGATACCCCATGTAGGCGACATAGGCCGTGGGAATAAGTGCTGCGAGCGAGCGCCTATGAATGCCAGCACCATGCCCGGCCGCCTTTGTCTCACCATGCTGATGTTTACACACTGCCCCAGGTACTCATTTAAGGCTGATTCGGCCTAGAACTGGTTCAGATATTGACCACTAATGTTGGTCGTGGCCAGGAATCGAACATAGGCCGCCGGGTTTGTTGCCCGGCGCGCTAGCCACTAGGCCACCACCGCGCCCTCTTCATCGTCCAGATTCAGAATCGGGAATCAGAATCTTGATTTAGACTGGAGAAATCCGATGCGTCATGAAGCTCTTTTTCACAACCGCGGTGAGGCAGCGATCTTGGCCACGTGATGGAGGGTGGGGGGGGGGCACGGGTTCAGCAGCAAGCAGCAAGCAGCAGCAGCCTCCATGCTGAGAGCGAGCAGCATCACGGGGCCGTCGGCCGCTTGACGGCCCCGTGCTGCTGCCTCGACGGCAACGACGCCGACGTGGCGGCGGTGGCGGCGCCGGAGTCGTCCTTGGCGACGCTGCCGTTGCAGCCGCCCACGGGAGTGTCCGTGGGGAGCAGCCGCACGAGCGAGTGGACCTTCGCGGCGTAGAAGTCGCGCAGGTTGCGCGAGTGCAGCTCCTCGGCGTCCACGTCGCCGTCGTCCTCCGAGCCGTCGCAGGCACTGACGCCCATCTCCATGGCTTTCTGGATGCGGTAGTACTTGGTGAACTTGTTGAAGATGATGGTGATGGGCAGCGCCACCACGATGATGCCGCACATGATGCACGCGGTGGCCATGAGTTTTCCCGGCACGGTGACGGGCACCGTGTCGCCGTAGCCCACCGTGGTCATGCTGATGGTGGCCCACCACCAGCACGTGGGGATGTCGCTCAGCTCCGAGCCTTCGTCGTCCTTCTCCACGGCGTACGTGAGCACCGAGAAGATGGAGATGCCCACGGAGAGGAAGAGTAGCAGGAGGCCCACCTCCTCGTAGCTGTGCTTGAGCGTGGTGCCCAGCGAACGCAAGCCGGTCGAGTGGCGCGCCAGCTTGAGGATCCTGAAGATGCGCGCCAGCCTCAGCACCTGCACCACCTGGCCGAGGTTGTGCAGCTCGCCGCCGCTCTCGAGCACCGAGTCCACCACCAGGGTGATGTAGAAGGGCAGGATGGACACGAAGTCGATAATGTTGAGCGGGTTCTGGGAGAAGCCCCTCGCGTTGGGCGTGACGAGGAAGCGCACCAGGAACTCGGAGGTGAACCACGCGATGCAGAAACACTCCACGGCCATGAGAGTCGGGTCTTCGAGCTCCTTGCCGTTGGCGTCGAAGAGCTGGAACTCGGGTGTGCTGTTTATGCACATGGTGATGATGGAGATGACGACCGTGGCCAGTGAGGTGGCCGCGAAGACCTTCGAGGACAGTGAGAACCCTGGGTTCTCCAGCAGAAGCCACAGGCGCTTGCGATGCTGCCCGCACCGCTGGTGCTCGAATCGCTTGGCGTCTGCCTGTAGGAGGCACATGTCCTCGAAGCTGGAGGCCTCCGAGCTCTCCTCGCTCTTCTCTTCCGAGTCCCTGTCCGCGTAGTCGTCCATGCGCTCGTGGTACCTGTAGCTGCAGCAGGAGTCGATGAAGAACTCGTGGATGCCCCAGTAGGCGATCTCCTGGCTGAAGGAGTGCGCGCACACCTCGGCCATCACGTGCAGCTTGCCCGTGCGGTAGAAGTTGAGGACGTAGCGGAACAAGCCCGGGCTTCGGTCGAAGTAGAACTCGTCGCGGGCCGCGTCGTAGTCGTCGCACATCTCCAGGACGGCCTCCCGCGAGTGGCGGCGGCGGGTCGCGAGGAGGGCGAGCCGCGTCTGCGGGAAGCGGAGCAGCACCGCGTGCCGCAGCGTCCGCTTCAACCCCCCGACGTTGACGTGGATGACGAGACCCTCCTGGGAGTCGCCCTCCGTGCCGTGGAGCAGCTCTTCCTCCTGGTCACCCAGCTCGCCCAGCTCCCCCAGTTCAGGGGGGCTCGCGGAACTTTGTCCCGGTGGCATCGCAGCGGCCCCAACGTTGCGCGTCTGTGGAAGGGGGCACGGGAAAAGTCGTTCCGGTCAAGCACAGCCCCGAGCTGCCGAACCAAAGAAATATCGGTGTGCAAGGGTCGTTAGTCGAGGATAATGCGTCCGTGGCGTTCTACCTGCGCCGATTTGCATTGCCGTAGAGCAGCTGTCGAAGAGAATGGCACAAGGAACAGCATTAGCTGCGTGGACGCCGCCTGGCATTTCCGTGCACGCAATCGCCACCGTGAGTCCGAGTGTGCCTTGACGGTGCTGTCTCTCCCTCTCTCTCTCGGCAAAGTTAGGTTTCACACAACTGAGACGTCAATGTTTTATGAGAGTAACAAAGCGGCACAGAAATTGTAACCCTTACCCTACAGGACAAAACATCGTACGCATGCTCGGTCCCGATTGGATTTCATGTTCATGTTTAGTTAATGCAAACCAACAGGTAAAAGGATACCTCGGAATACGTGACGTGGCACGGAGATAGCGTGAGCGTGGCACGAATCTCTTCAAATATTGGCGAACATGCAAACCGGCAATGCAATATTATAACTGATTTGAACAAATAATAACATACTCAGCGACAGCCAGCACACGGCACGCATGCGTGAATACACAAATATAATCTGGCTGGGAAGTCCAGACCAGGAGAAAATGATCGGAGAGTCATAGCAACATACCGTTCGGCGTATCCTGGGCCTCCACCTTCGTGGGTGCACTGAACACGCACAGCAGGTATATCCATGTGAATATGCAGGATGAATGAGAACCCTCACATAGGTTAACAATAGCCGGGCGAGTGTGAGCTTTTGTGGCGTTGAAGACACTTTCAACAAGCGCTTCTTAAAACTTTACTACACTTTATAATCGACGAAGTCAGTGAACACCTCTTCACGGCTGGCTTACAAAAGTCGTTTTTCTCCCCAACGCCAATGCTGAACACAACGCCGCTGGTATTATTCGTTTTCCTACTGCTGAGTCTGCCAAGCAGATGATCATACAAGGTCCATTCCTAGTTGACAGTGGTCTCAAAAGCTCAAACGAGCAATGATGCGGTGCGCATCCCCGTTGGAAGGACGGCCCCGGACGAACGGTGGGAATTCCACATTACTATGACGGGACGGACAGGGAGTCCAAGCCCCCCCCCCCACCCCCTTTCACTTTATTATGTCCAAGTCAACTAATATCGGCGGTACGTTCCTCTTTCATGTCAGAATCAGAATATTTATGTATTTACACTGGATGAATCTGATGAGCCATGAAGCTCTTTTTCACAGATGTCCAGTCGGGACGGGTGAGCGAATTACATCAACAGACAATACAAGAAAGGGCACGTATGTTGAACTTAGTTCGCACCTTCTTGGTTCTTTCGGTAAAGTCACGTAGAAGGGAAGTAATAAAATAATAAAATAATTATTAAATGATATACTGTATTGCTATAAACCACCCTATAATTATTATGTTTTATTATGTTTTATTTTTATTATTTTATTACTTCCCTTCTACGTGACTTTACCGAAAGAACCAAGAAGATGAATCCCTGCAGTCACGAAAGCTTGAAATCGAGAATTATTTTATTATGTTTTATTTTTATTATTTTATTTCTTCCCTTCTACGTGAATTTACCGAAAGAACCAAGAAGATGAATCCCTGCAGTCACGAAAGCTTGAAATCGAAATTTAGTTCGCACCGTAACGTAGCCAACCGTGCCCATCGAAGGTGCCGGGGAAGCACAACAAACTACACACGCAAAAAAGCCGTTCTAAAGAAATTAGCTTTCAATCTGGATTTAAAAGTGCATAGCTCCAGTGGCTTCCTGACATTGGAACGAAGAGCATTGCAGACGGTCGCAGAAGCGCATCTGAAAGCGCGCGATGCGGTGATCGTCTTTGTTCGATGGTTAGCCAAAAGCTGCCTGCGAGTATGACCAAATTTCCCGTGATGGTTTATGATCTTTGACGAGATCAGCAATGTCGTGTCGTTCATTTGTGACAAGCACTCTGTGTGTAATGAGCGAGACCTCATAATGCATTCGGAGTAAGGTAGAGAAGAGTTAAGAAAGTTAATCAAAACATATATATATACATATATATACAGTACAATGGAAGTTCAAATTGGACTCGTACATACATTTTCACAGGGAAACAACAATACAAGACAATTACCAAGACAATATAAAGTCGTTCGCATTACATTGCACTCGATAATTTAGTAATCGATACTATGGGCAAGATTCGTCATTCCAAATCGCCGCTTCTGGCTTAGTGGGCAGAGCACCACAGCAACGATGCACGGCAGAGCAAAGTCGATGCCATCGCTTCTCAATCAGAGAAATGTTTAACATGTGTGTTCAACACGAAGGGGTGGGTAGCCAACACCACGCCCGGCCGCCTTTGTCTCCCCAGTGGTGATGTTCACACACTGCACAGTGCAGTCGTCCGAGGCTGAGTCGACCTAGGGGAGGCCCAGAACCGGTTCAAATAATCATCGCTGGTGTTGGCCGTTAACTCGGGTGGCCGGGTTCGTAGCGCAGCGCGCTAACCGCTACACTACCGCTCCCCGCGTGACACACACACACACACCCTTTCAAACAAGGTCACGCTACAACAAAGTCATTCAACGAGCTCCACGCGATTGTAGCGACTAGCAAAGTGACGGCGAGAGAAGGGTTGCACGACAGCGCGGCGAACATACTCACCTCGCCGGCAACACTCCTTGCAAACTCGCCCAAGTGTCCCGAATGGAATGCCCGCCTGGAGCTGACCGAGCCGACTAAACGACGCGTGCTTGCCCGCGGCTCGCTATTTTCGCACGCTCTTGCCGTGGGATGATGCGTGCACATGCGGTCGATTGGGTGAGGATGGCTGTCATGCACGTGGAAGGATGCTGCAGCTTTGTCGTATATCCCTCGTTGCTTGCCGGAGTCATCGAAGCCAGGGCACGGTGCGGAACTTACTTCGTTCTTGCTATATTCACCATCATCATCATCGTAACTATCCTCAGGCTCATCTCATCTGTACAGCAGCCTCCTCCTGCCCCGTGACGTCTCGAGCCCCGCTTCTTGGACTCTCCTCCTGCTCACGATGCGCTGCCCGTGACATCGGATGGGGGCGTGCGTGTGTGTGTGTGCGCGCGTGTGTGTAACTACGTGCGTGTGTGTGTGTGCGCGCGTGTGTGTGTGCGCGCGTGTGTGTAACTACGTGCGTGTGTGTGCGCGCGTGTGTGTAACTACGTGTGTGTGTGCGCGCGTGTGTGTAACTACGTGTGTGTGTGTGCGCAACTACGTGCGTGTGTGTGCGCGTGTGTGTAACTACGTGCGTGTGTGTGCGCGCGTGTGTGTAACTACGTGCTTGTGTGTGCGCGCGTGTGTGTAGCTACGTGCGTGTGTGTGCGCGCGTATGTGTAACTACGTGCGTGTGTGTGTGCGCGCGTGTGTGTAACTACGTGCGTGTGCGCGTGTGTGTGTAACTACGTGCGTGTGTGTGTGCGCAACTACGTGCGTGTGTGTGCGCGAGTGTGTAACTACGTGCGTGTGTGTGCGCGCGTGTGTGTAACTACGTGCGTGTGTGTGCGCGCGTGTGTGTAACTACGTGCGTGTGTGTGCGCGCGTGTGTGTAGCTACGTGCGTGCGTGTGCGCGCGTATGTGTAACTACGTGCGTGTGTGTGTGCGCGCGTGTGTGTAACTACGTGCGTGTGCGCGTGTGTGTGTAACTACGTGCGTGTGTGTGTGCGCAACTACGTGCGTGTGTGTGCGCGTGTGTGTAACTACGTGTGTGTGTGCGCGTGTGTGTAACTACGTGTGTGTGTGCGCGTGTGTGTAACTACGTGCGTGTGTGTGTGCGCGTGAGTGTGTGTGTGTGCGCGTATGTGACTGTGTACGTGCGTTTCTTGTGTGTCTATGTAGGTATGGTGTGTATGCTATGCGTATGAATTTGTAGATCTATGCCTGTGCAAGTGTAAATACGCATGTGGGTGTATCTGTTTCGCGTGCCGTGCCGGTCTTCATAGGTACTTGCTAACAGCACTTTCCCCCCCCCCCCCCAATAATATGTTAAGGCTATACGGGGGATCTTTGTCTTTGTATCTGTTTATGGCCAGGTCTTTTGTGTCTGCATGCTTGTGTGTCTATACCTGTGTGTGCATAGGTATCTGTGTCATTGTCTGTCGATGCCCGTGTGTGTGTGTGTCTGTGCCTATGCGTGTATATGCATGTGTCCGTATATGCATGCATTTGTCTTTGCCCCCGTGTGCTCGTGCGAACGCGCGTCCACACGTTGAGCGTCGGCGTCTGTGCGGCGAGCAAGGTCTGCACCACAGACTGGCTCTGCCCGCCAGTGCAGTGTGTAACGTGCGCCCTGCCGACGCCAGATATTTATGAATGAAGTCCACTTCACTCAGAGGGAACGCATCTCTCGCTCTGAGACAAGCGCGTGGCCGCGTTTAACAATGAAGCACCGAGGCGGGTTTACGACGCCGGCTGGCGTCTGGCGAAGCGCTTGCGATGGAAGCGGCGGCAGTAAAGTCCCCGTGACCGCTCTGCAATATACTTTTTTGGCGTTGTTATTCAGCTGCGTGGTTATTGCCGCTTCTACGACGAGCATAACCGACATTCGCATATTCGCCGCCGTGCGTAAACAAAATTTAGACCGGATGCAGCCTGTTTTACCACTCAACATTATAAACTGACGAATATAGCAAAATCGACTGCTCCCGCTATCTCTCTCTGTACAAGTCACCCAGAATGCACCATTGTAATGTGTTCCCAAGGAGCAAGCTATACCGGCAGTTGTTAAAACAAAAGTGCAAATACACACATAATGTGCGCAATAAAATAATCAAGGCTTCTAAATAATAAACAAGCACGCAGTGCATATGTACAGCAAACCATTGCATTTGTTCCCAACCGTGGAGAGGTGGAATCGTTATTCTCTCTCTATCCCGCCGTGGGAACGTGGAATTTCCACCGCTGACTCAGCGCCACCAAGGAGGATGGACGCTGCTCGTTACGAGCCGAGAGGTCGCGCTCCAAGTGAGCGCGTGACGTCTCCCAGGACTCTTCGCTTGGCAGTCGGATTGTCCGCATGCGATCAACCCCCGTTCGTGGGAGAACGGCATTTGAAGGGGGCCACCTTGTGGCGATCAGTGTCGAGAGTCTGGGTAGTGCCTGCTGATGGGTTCTATTCGTTATTGAGTATGGCAATACGTCCAGGAGTTGCGTGCCGACCAAATGTCGAGATCTGCTAGCCACGGCGTGAGTGGGCTTCAGGACGGAGTTGGTGCGGTGTTGCTGCTCCTCCTCCGCCGACTACAGTGGCTTGGGTTGCATGGCCAACAATCGCACTGCTGTGGCTCGTCGTTTAAAGTTCCACTCATGGTGCGGTTGATTTTTACACCCGGCGTGTTCTAGGAATGTTAAATCCAGGAGGTGCGATATTTGGGTCTCTAACGTGTTTTTTGTTTTTATTGGATGGATGGACAACCATACACGCCATGCAGGCTGCCATAGCTATGACGGCTGCGTAGCTGCGTTGTGTCTAGTAGATGGCAGTGCAGCAAAACCCATTGTTGCACTGCACTTCTAT